GAAACTCGCGCGAGCAATCCTATCCGCCGCCGCTTGTGCATCCCCCCCTGGCGCCCGTTGTATTTCATCGTGGGCCGCGTGACCCTCCCCGGAAGCCCCGCCGCACGCCATCGACAACAGGCCCGCGCACATACGTAATGCCTTGGCGAGCTCCGCGTCCGCGTCGATCAGGGCGGTGAGGGGTCCGCTAGAGCGCCTCCCAGCGTGGCGTCGACGCCCTTCGCTCGTCCGATACGGTCGAGATGGTAAAGCCAGTTTCCGCCGATCTGCTTGGCACAAGGGCGTCAAGGGCGGGCGCGCGCGGTGTCGACACTGAAGCTATACTCCAGGGTTGGCCCCTCGTCCTCGGCGCGCTCCTCGTCGTCCGGATCCTCGAGGTCCTCCGCCGCGCCACCCATCATAACCACCTCCTCTGTCCGCAGGTTGGCCAATTTCTCCTCGACCTCCTCTCTCCCTCCTCCTCCTCCTCCTCCTCCTCCTCCTCCTCCTCCTCCTCCTCCGCCTCCTCCTCCCCCTCCTCCTCCATTATCTCGCGGGCGGCGCCTGCAGCTTCTGCTACGATGGCGCTCTGCTGGCGCGCTGCGTTCCCGCCTACGGTGGGGTCTCCTGATGTCGCGCCTGCCCAGGTCGTCCTCGCCGCCTTCGTTTCCGCCATGCCTCAAACCCCGGCGCTGGGCCCGTTCCCAGCGCGCCTGCGCGTCCCCGCAGTGCCCCAGCTGCGGATGATGTAGTCCATCTGCGAGCAGGTCTGCTGAAGGAAGGGGTAGAACGTGGCGTGCGTGTCTTCGATTGCCTTCCTGGCCGCGGCCGCTCTGGCCTCCTCTGCACAGTCCCCGTACCCGCCCTGATGCGCGCACTCCTAGTCCCCGCGCTCGTCCCGCTTCTGGTGCTCTGGGTCCGTCTCGCACTGTGGGTCATGCCTCTCGTCTTGCTGCACGCACTCTGGATTATTGCCGCGCTCTGGGCCCCCGTGCTCGCCATGCCACTTGAGCTATGAGTCTCACTCTGAGTCTCGTCCTGCTGCTCGGACTCAGGGTCCTTCTCGCACTTCGGGTCATGCTTCTTGTCATGCTGCTCGCGCTCTGATTTCTTGTCGTGCTCTGGGTCCCTGTGCTCGTCCTGCCGCTCGTGCCCTGAATCCCCGTGCTCGTCCTGTCGCTGGCACTCTGGGTCCTGATCCTGCTGCTCATGCTGCTCGTACTCTGGGCCTCGTCCTGCTGCTCGTGCCCTGGGTCCTTCTCGCACTTGGCCTCCGCATTCTTCTCTGTCTCGACCTGGGCGTTCGCTCGAGCAGCACTTTCAGGCGGAACCAGCCGTGGTGACGATGCAGGAGTTCTCGGCAACGTAGCCCGAAGGGCTAGGTATGGGGGGAACCCTGTCGTGTCCTGCTCTGGGCTAAAGCCCGGGCCTGCTCTGGGACGGAGAGACCAGAATGGACAGGGCCCCCTGGCCCTCCACAGCAGCAGCCGCTCGTGGAGGTTTGTTTCCTGGAGGTTCATGGCGTTTTTTCTTCCCTCCCCTCCAGCCTTGCTTTCTCACACCACTGCCGGCCCTTCTCGCACCACCGCCAGCCCTTCTCGCACCACTGCTGGCACCTCTTGCTCCACAATTGCTGCTACTGTCGCCACTTTCTCGCACAACCAGCTTTGAGCCTGTAGCTGGCGGCGTCCATTCTCGCACGTACTCCTCCGAGCCTGAGTTGACGACGTCCTGCTGCGTGTTGCCAATGTCGCTGATGAAAGCTCTAGCCCACTGCACGACGAGCTTCCTTCTCCACCGCGTCCTCGGTGATGCAAGGGTCGCACGCAGCTGTAGGTGATGATGTCCCGAAATTGCCATTGCGCCATTGCCATCCCTGCTCGTATCAGTCATCCGGTGACCCAGCCACCCAAGGTGGCGCTTCCTTGCGCATGTTGGATGCCACTGCGGTAGTCAGCGTTGTATCCTCGCTCTCGTATCCGTCATCCCCGTGCTGCGGAGTGTACATTTCTACCTTCCCCAAGACGGTCGTCATCATGGTGACGACGTCCTTGTCATCCGGCCGTCCTCCCTTTCGGATTTGTCTCCAGCCCTTCTTGACGCGGCTGGTGTAGACCTCGGGATGCAAACCCAGTTTGCTGGGCCTCGCGGGGCCCGTCCTGCGAGGCGGGGACGTATCCACATCCACCGCCTGGGAACCGACGTCCTGGTGCCCCAGCGGGCGGTGGCTATGGATATATGTTTTGGCCCCCGGCGGCCAGAAAAAATGTCCATGTCCACCGCCCGTGGAGGTCCGCGAAGATCGACCCCCCGGGCGGTGGCACGTAAATGGATACATCCCCGCCTCGGACGTCCTCTCGCAGTCGCTCTCGGCTCCCGCGCCCGCCCTCGGCCGGCGCCCTGCGGTGCCGTGGCGCGGCGGGAGGCGCAGGGCCACCCCGCCGCGCGCGCCCGAAGGGAGGGGCGCGCCGCGCGGGCGGAGCGGGGGGAGGGGGCGGCGGCCCCCCGGCAGCGGGGGGGGGACCGCGGCTGGGGGCCCCCCGTGGCCCTCCCCCTCCTTCGGATCCTCCTCCTGGTCCTCCTGCCAGTTCTCGTCGTCGTCGTCGACGTCGCCGTTCTCCTCCTCCTCCTCCTCCTCCTCCTCCTCCTCCTCCTCCTCCTGCCGAAGTTCCGGCGTCGAACGTGTGTGTGTGTGTGTGTGTGTGTGTGTGTCGCCCCGTGGCGCGAGCTGCCTGCGCAGCGCGGCTCGTCCGGCCTGCAGACCAGGCCCAGGCGGCGAGCGAGGGGGGGGGGAAGTGAGAAGGGGCGGGCCTTCTCAGAGGTTTCGGAAGTTGGAGGCCTGGAAATGGGCACCAACACCAACACAGGGGGTTGTCACCACAGGGGGGAGATGATCCTAGATTTCGGTGTTGGTGGTAATTAATATTTCGGCCACCTTGGAAGCCAGAATATCACCACCATCACCGAGATCGGAATCTTCCTCCATCGGTGGAGGCACACCGACGATATTGGTGTTGGTGTCAATCTCCAGGCCTGCGAGGAAGTCCCCTGGCCTCCTCAGAAGTGTTCTGAGCCTTCCCCGAAGGCAGACAACACTTCTCAGGAGGCGCGAGGGCTCCTGAGAAGCCCCGCCGCCTTCTGAGAAGGCCTTCTCCTTCTCACGTCCCCCCCTCGCTCGCCGCTGAAGACCATCTGCTGCTGGTCCGGCGCCGGGCCGCTTACGCACCGAGGGTTAAAACACACAGCGCTGGCACCAAACGTTCGGCGGTCCGCGCGGGTCTCTTGGCTCAGCGCCAGAAGCCCCTCCCTGGGGCGCGCGGCGCACCTGGCGGCAGCGCCAGCGGCCGAGGGGGTTCCAGAGCCGATCCAAGAGATCCGTGCGCACCTCCGAGAGTGTATGCCCCTGCCAGTACGAAACACGAAGACGACGGCAGGAGCACGACAAAGTCGGCCAGAGATGTGACTCGGAATCTCTTGAAACGGGCGGGCTTGGAAGATGTATGGGGCGCCGCGGCCGCTCCATGGGACGCAGAAGGACATCGCACTGTCACCATGCGCTCCCCCGCCCTGGGAGGTGCACGTCCGAAACGAGGGCATAATCGCTGGAAGCACATTAGAACACATCGCAACCCAGGCGGTATGGCCAGGAAGCGCCCACCGCCAAGCATACGTCATGCGAGTTCTGAGCACGCGGGTCCCCCTTGGGAAGGCGGCGCGCACACTGCTGGAGCCACAACTGTGATTGGGCGATGCTGACTCCACAACGTTCCAGGCTCTGAGAGCCTTCTGGATCGCTCTGAAAATATTCCGTTTGTTCTAGGACTGCCTGGCCTGAGACGATGGCCAAAAAAACACTGCCAAGTCCGAAGTCCTTCTTGCGCTGGCCCGAAAAAGCCCAACGGTCAGACCAGTGACCCGTGGCCGGCTACCTGTGACGCCCACGAGACATCACATCGGTCAGGCCAAGACTAGGCCAAGTTCCTGCGGCGGTGAGCCGAAATGCCACCTGTCAGGCGAAGGCCGTATGGCCGGTTCCCTGTGGCACAGACCAGACATGCCCACGGTCAGTCAGCCCAAGGCCCTGTGGCTCAGAATCAATGTAAGTGCGCGGCCCCTGAGGTCCCGACCCCTTCCCCCGGGCTCAATGTGCTCCCCAGGTGCAGTTTTGATGTGGCGGCGCCGCGCACAAGGGGGAAGGGGGGAGGCTTCTTAGAAGGAGGCGGTTTCCTGGAAGGCGCCGGCCCCAGATCTACAGACAGGGCCCGCACCTTCCAAGAAGCAGGGGCGCTTCGGCGGTGGACGAACCTCCCTGCAAAAAAAACCTCCCTTTCGTGAAAACGGCCTGGGACCGAAACCGACGGACCCGGACCCGCGACAATGACGGCCGCGACGCCCTCTCGCGAACCGAAAACGGCCCATTCCTGAATCGACGTGTCAGGGTAGGAGGTCTATCCACCTCCGACCCTGGATCTACAGACAGGTAGGAAGGCACCAACTATACACCAACACCGATCCTGGCCAGGATCACCCTGGGCCAGGATCGGTGTTGGTGTATAGTTGGTGCCCTCCGAACAGGGCCCGCGCCTTCCAAGAGGCAGGGGGCGCTGCTGAGAAGCCCTCCCCCCCCCTCCCCCCTGGCACCCTCTGCGCGTGGCCGGCTGACGGCCCCGGGGCCCGAGAACGGGCCTCGGAGACCGACGTCGAGGAGCAAGAACAGAACTATTGTCAAGTCGGGCGTGTCCCCCTACAGGGGGATTTTCGACGATAAATAGAAAATACAAAAAAAATCAAAGATGGTCAAAAAAACCTCAAAAAGTAATCCCCAGGCTATTTTTGGACTATTTTGGAATATTCCCCCCTGTAGAGGGACAGGCCCGACTTAAAACTACAGACAAAAAAAAACATCGTCGGAATTCTGGGTTTGTCGCTCCCCCTCGGCCCCACGGGCAGTACGGAGCGGGCCCCATCCTCCTCCCTGGGCCCCCGAACCCGTGAGGTGCGCAGCGGTGCGGAACCGCGACCTGCCGTGGTGGAGTCGGAGCCGCCCGGAGGGTCGGAGGTCTCGTCGGCGGACGCGCTGGAGTTGGAGCCGTCGTCAATCCTGCCCTCCCCTCTCCGCCCTCCTCCTGGACATCCTCCCTCCTTCCCCCCTCCCCTTCGGGCGCTAGCACGACTGAGTTGGGCCAGTGCCGGGGGACCCCCTTTTTTTCGTCCCAACTCCACCAGCCTCGAAACTGCCGCCGCCCGAAGAGGCACCGGCAACGTGATTCGGGCTCATTTGGGGGGCTCCGGGGCCAAATCGCAAACCTGCTCCTGCTACCCACGGTCCTGGCCAGACCCGAGAGTTGCTCGGACCAAGCAAACGGCATCAGCACAAACGTTCGGAACTCCGCGCGGATGCCTTGAGTCAGCACGGCACGCGGAGCGCGCCATGGGTGGCGCCGGAGGCGCCGCCAGGGGGTCCAAGCCATCCCGGTGGAGCTCCAGTGTGTATGTATGCTGCTTGCTGTCTTCCGAGCCGCACATGTGAGAGTAACGGATGGGCAACTACGCACCGTACCATTCCTGGGCTCAGGATCGACGACGCCAACGCAGCAGGGTGCACACAAGTTGTCCGCGGAGTCGTGCGCGGGGAAACTTACTACTGCTCCCCAAACCTCTCCCAGGATGCGTTCTGACCAGATTTTCGAAGCGAATCCAACGGTGACGAGGAGGGCCTCCCAGTAGGCCGACAAATGCGAAAACGAGGTGAGGCCAGCGGTATCGGTGCCTTTTTTTTCTCCGGGAGAAGACCACGATGATAAAAAATGCCAGCTTCCCAACTGATGGGAAAAGGCCTCCACCATTCACGGACAGGCTGGAAAAAAGTAGAGGACGGGAGGAGGAAGAGAGGGAGGAAAAGTACTGGATGCGTCCGAGTGTCCACATGGCATGCCCAGACCAGATGGCCCGAAACTGTGAACGTCAGATATATGCGCCGTCATATTCAAAGTCCATCAAGCCGGATCGCCAACGACCAGTTGAGCGGCACAGGCTGACCCAAGCCACAGCTGTAAGAGCTCGCGGCATATTGTGTAAATTTGAAACAAGCTGGGTGACAAAAACTGCAGCCCAAGAGCGTCGACGAAACATGCTTGTCCGCGGACTGTCTCAAGGGGCATTATCAGATCGCTTGCCAGTGTGACGGCGGAGTCCCCTGTCACCGCCCAAATCGGAAGGCCATTCGGAAACCCACCAAGACAGGCACGGCAAAGCACAACACTACAACGCCTGAGGAAAGAGGAAGTGAAGAAAGAGGAAGTAGGAGGAGGAGGAGGAGGAGGAGGAGGAGGAGGAAGGAGAGAGCGGCAGGACTCCCAAATCTAACATCGGCGGCGCACCGCGTCCGCCTCGGCCCGACGGGGAGCAGAATGGGAACCCTGCGGCTGACGCGACCAGCTGGGCGAGCAGCAATCAGCGGCGGGGCATGCATCACCTGCCACCCACAAAACGAACTCCTCCAGCATCTCCGCCTGGCGTTCCGCGGCAGCTGCAGGTCGGCGCATAGTTTTCTGCGTGGGCCAGCGTAGCGGCGGCCCACCTGGGGCGACACTGAAGCTTGCAAGCGGCGAGGGATGAAGGGAAGAGGGGAGGAAAGGAGGGCGGAGTGAAGGAGGAGGGGGGGGGGAGCGCTCTCGCCAAGCGTCGCGCCGAACCGGCGTGCCCCAGACCGCCTGAAGAGAGAAAAAAATATCGTTCTCGCTGGGCGTCGCGCTGAACCTGGCGCGCCCCAGACCGCCTCGGCAAAAACATGCACTACGCAGTGCTGGAGGGGGTGGGGGGGGACATGGAGCGCAGGAACCGGCTCGAGTCGCGGCCCCTGCCGACGAATCGAGTCGCATGGAATCGGATCACAGGCGGCCCTCACAGCTCCAGTGCGCATGCAGGACGCCCGAAGACCAGCCTAAGACGGCCGAGCGACGGCCCACCAGTGCTCCAAGATGTCTCTCAAAGGTTCCCGGAGGCCCCCAGAGGGCGCTTTAAGGAGGCTTCCAGCGAGACCCTGGGATGTGAAAAACAATGACATATATACACACACGTATGAATGAATACGAATATGAAGTATGATGTGTTTGCATCTGAAGCTTTGCAGCCTCACATTGATCGTGGACAACTTGAGAACTTTCAGACATGATTGAGATTCTTGAGCATGGCGCAAAGAGCTTAAGGTCCTAAGACGGCCCAAGGATAGCTGAAAATTGCCCACCAAATAATCCGCCCAGACGTCCCCCGAGATTGTTTGACCGACCTTCGGGAGAACTCGGTAGAATCATCGCGCCCACAGATGGACTCGAGACCCCCGGCGGGCCGCCAACGGGCCCCCAAAGAGGCCCCCAAACGAGAGCCCGGAGAGGCTCCGACGGAGCCCCGAAGAATCCTACAGGAGGCCTCCGAGATGGATGCAGAGGGAACAGCGGGGCCACGGACAAGAGAAAGCGCGGTGCTTTAGGCACGCGCCGGCTCGGCTCCGAAGGGCAACTTGAACTGGGAACAGCGCTAAACTCGATAGCCTTTCTGCTGCGCTGGCGCGGCGGTGGGGTTTTGCCGCAAGCACTTCCATGTTACGTTCAGACTTCGCCTGCCTGAGAGCATGGAGCAAGACGATTGGATACCCCGTTGTACGGCCGCCGATCCAATCCTCCACCAGTGAAGGCAGCCGAAACGGATCGGAGATCAGGTTGGGCAAAGGCTTCCACTGATGTGTGCCGAGCAACTATTCACCTACCGGGGGGGCCCAATTGACAAAAGGAACTCGTGCACAATATGTTGGTGAAAACGGGTTTTGCAACCGTGCCTACATCGGCCCTGGAGGCGAGGGAGGAGGCCACACCGCACGATCACTGCATCAGCGATGCATCTGTGGCGTTGGGATGAAAGCCGTCCGGCTCCGGATCGCGCTGCATGGCCGATGAGCCGACGATGCAGTGCAATCCGCCTAGCCCTTCTACTGTCAACGCGTGTGACACAGATGCGCGGTAAGGATACAAGCCCCTTCGATGCCCAAGTAGCAACTTTTGCGCTAAGGATTGGCCGAGGTTGGGCCGAAGAGGCAAGGATGAAGGGCACCTTCAAGAATACAACTCATCCTTAGCAGCGGCCTAAAGTCACCGGAGCCACCCCTCTCCCGCTCACCCGCCTTCGTTGCGGAGATGTGGCGAAGGGAGAGAGGGAGATGGGGAACGAAGAAATATTGGACCGGATCGGTGGACGCAACCCAAACCTCCAGCGTTGTGATTTTTGCAGTGTGAGCCCCAAGACGTCTCGTCCACTTCCCCAAGACCAGATTCTCCATCCCGAGCCGTCTTTTGATGGTCCTGGGGTCTCACAAGGGCCCGCAGAAGCGGAAAACGGTGCCCAAAACCCTCCATCGTGACTCTTTCAGAGCGCGAGGAGGCCTGCGAAGGCAGACCTCCTTAAACAAGCAAGAAGAGTAGAATGTGAGAAAAAACGCACACAACAAAAACACACACACACAAACGCACACACACACACAAAAAAAAAGCCACACATTGTGTGTTTGTGTGTTGTTGTTGTTGTTGTTGTTGTTGTTGTTGTTGTTGTTGTTGTGTGTGTGTGTGTTTTGTGTGTGTTGTGTGGTTGTGTGTGTTTGTTTGTCATCTGTTCGTTCGTCATTTGTTCGTTCGTGTGTGTTGTCGTGTGTTCGTCGCATCTGTTCGTTCGCATCGGAGACCGCGCACGCACGGCACCCCCTCCCGGTCTCCGCTCCCCTGCAGGAGCCGCGCGTTGCCGATGGTCAGTGGGTTGTCCACCGCGTCTGTCGCTGGAGGATCTGCGGGCGAATCAACATTTCAATCATCACCATCGTCATCGCCCTCAGTTAAGCATGCGATGAAGGCAATGCAACAGTGAAAAGAGACAAAGCGGAGCGCACCGAGACATGACTTGTGTCCTCGATCCCGCAAGACTGAACTGCGAAGGCATTCGGAGAGGATTGCGGCACGCCACATCGTCTCAACGGCCCAACGGGCTCAATGCGTGCTAGAACCCCAGGTGCCAGGTTCTCAGAACTCCGTTTACGTATTCAAATTCGCACGTTGCGGTCCCTGGGATTGGGGAGGCGGAAATCACGTAACGCTGGGAGGCTCAGGGAAGCCAGGTCGGCAAAATTTCTGTGTCCAGCCTGAAGAACTCCGACGGCGGCCACCCACACACACACACACACACACACACGGCACGCACACACGCACGCACACGCACACGCACACGCACACGCACACGCACACGCACACGCACACGCACACGCACACGCACACGCACACGCACACGCACACGCACACACGCACACGCACACGCACACGCACACGCACACGCACACGCACACGCACACGCACACGCACACGCACACGCACACGCACACGCACACGCACACGCACACGCACACGCACACGCACACGCACACGCACACGCGCACGCGCACGCGCACGCACGCGCACGCGCACGCGCACACACACACACACACACACACACACACACCCACACGCACACGCACACGCACACGCACACGCACACGCACACGCACGCGCCCGCGCCCGCACCCGCACGCGCACGCGCACACGCACACGCACACGCGCACGCGCACGCGCACGCGCACGCGCACGCGCACGCGCACGCGCACGCGCACGCGCACGCGCACGCGCACGCGCACGCGCACGCGCACGCGCACGCGCACGCGCACGCGCGCGGTGTTTTGCAGAGCGCCAGACAGCCTGCAACGTGATTTCCAAAGGTCCATGCGACCGCCACAAGACAGCTCCAAATGACCACGGAGCCTCCAAAGGATGCCTTCAAAAGGCCGAAACCATTCAAAACCTCCAGATGGCCAATGAGCCTCAAGATGGGTCCGAGATCGCCGAAGAAAGATCTCAGAGGTGTCCAGAAGGCCTCCAAGCCAAGAGGTTCCGAATACCACAGGACGCCCGAGAGCGTCCCGAGGGGGCTGCAACAGATCATGTGTTGGGTCTTCGACGGAGCGTGCGTCAGCCGATTCCCAGAGAGCCCAGGCGGCCCCCGAGAGGGCTGCAGGAGAGCCTCACAGTTCCGAGAAGGCGCCCAGAAGAGCTCAGAGATGGTTCCAAGAGGCTTCCAACAGAACTCCAAGCTGATGCAAGCTGGCCACTCTTGGAGGCTGCGCGGGATCACCATTCGAGGCTTCGCTTTACCTCGTCTCTTTCCTCTTATCGGCGGCGAGCCTCGGGAAGGGGAAGTGAGAAGGGGCGGTCGTTCTCAGAAGGATGGGAAGCCCTCCGGCATGAGGGGGGAGGGACAGGGATAAGACGGATGGGGACAGGAGGGAGGGTGAATGGAGAGGGAGAAGGAGAAGGGAGACATGGAGGATAGGAGAGGGAAGGATAAATGGAGAGATAGGGACAGGAGAAGGAAATTGGAGGACAGGGATGAAGATCGCGACATGAGGGATAGGGAAATAAGTGGCAGGCGTAGGGATAGGGATCAGGAGGAGGATCGACCAGCCGACCCCGAACACGCAGAAGATTTCTCGGCCCCACCGCCTTCTGAGAAGGCCTTTACCTGCTGAGCTTCCTCTTCGGCACGCTGCCGAGCTTGGCTTCTCACGCTCGCACTCGCGACCCTTCTCGACAGAAGTAGGTGCCCAGCACGCAAGAACACGGGGGTGCCGGGGCACATAGCAGAGGGGCGGGCGTTACACGTATTCGCTCGGGAGCCTCACCGAAGGCATGCACCATCGGCGCCCCTGGATACAGGTACTGCTCCCCCTGGGCTATTCGCCCCAATCGTCCCCTCCGATGGTAGAATGGTTGGTTGAAGCGCGCAAGACCACCGGCGCATGCTTCCGAGAACACCCCTCTCTTCAACGCTCCCATTACCGCACTCCCTCTTCTTGCCATCGCCTGATCCCAAATGCCCGTACACGGTCCACACTTTCTGGCCCTGGCCTTGCCGAGAACAACGCACACGTCCGAGCGATGCCAGATCTGCACGCACCCCTCACATCAAAGTGTCCTTGCAGCCCCGTCTGTGGCCCTTCCCGCGGCCGCCGGCCCCCGCGCCCTCGCTGCGGACTTGGCGCCCGCTGGCCGCCACTTGATTACACGGCTGGTCTCGGCTTCGTACGCGGGCCGTCCGCCCGTCGTCTGGGACCGCCTCGGTGGCCTCTTGGCCCGTTTGGGCCCGCTCTTTGGGCTCTCTCGGTCGTGATGCTTTCCTTTGACGCCTTCTCGGGGCCTCTCGTGGAGACCTTGGTGAACCTCTCGGGGCCTCTGAGGCATCTTTGAGTCCCTTAGAAGCCCCTTGGATCGTTCTGAAGGCTTGTTGCAGTCATATTGAGCCGTCTGGGCGCCCACTTTGCGCCTTCTTGGAGCTCTTAGAGAGCCACCAGGGGGCGGCAAGCCAACTGAAGTCATTACTTGTTTGACCCCGCTCTCCTTTTCAGCAGCAGCAAATACTCCTTAACAGGATGCCCTTTTCGGCTGTTCTCAAAATCTTCTGGGGCCCTCCTAACTAGTTCTTGTCAATGTGGAAAGCCCCTGTGGACGAACTGCCTGGGACATCCTTTTCATTCCCTCTGCTACTTACGTTCGCCTCGATCCTGGGACGAGAACCGTTCCCGCGGGAGGCCCAAACAGCAGTGAGCACCCAGCCCCTACGCAGCCACGCCCTGACGAAGGCGTGGGTTGCATCTGGCGCATGTGCAGTCGGGCTGCTGAGCTGAGGTGCGATAGATCAGGAAACGAAGCTTCTTTTGGCCCCAAAGGCGCCTGCGTGCACGAAGAGGGCTAGAGGAAAAGCCATGGAATGACCTAAGGATCATAGAGCCACTTACGAACCCACAACGTTCCTTCTTTCTGCGTCTTGCCTTGACTGTGTCATTCTATGCCGATGCACCGGCCAGGTTCCAGGCCTGCGTGTGTTGCTTGCTCGCTTCCTCCAGCATGCCTCCTACTGTCTGCTCAGGAGCTGTAAGTCTCGCCGTGTGCTATTCAAGCGGCCACGTTCCAGGAACGCGGGGCGGCGGCATGTGCCCCCATCAAGGGGCGCTGGAGAAAGAAACCCGCCAGCCCTCGGGGCGTAAATGGTTTCATCAAAGTGTGGAAACGGTTATTTTGCTCCCCTCCGGGGAGGGGTGCTCCTCCACTAGCCTCTTCCCCTGGGTCTGGACGGGAGAGGGGGGGAAGCGAAGCGTTAGAGCGTTCAAGATGGATCCGAGAGGGCTTCGTGACGTCCAACATGGCACCGAATATGTCCAAGATAGCACTATACATCCCCAGGCCGAAAATTGTTTCCTCTTGGACTAAAAAATGGCATCACCAACGGATCCAATTGGATCCCTTTTCGGCTGTGGAAAAGGTTCGTGGATCCTATTTCTGTGTTGCGCGGATCAAATTCCTGTGTATGGAAAAAAACGATGGATCCATTTTTCCCGGGAATAAATATATAATTGCCCCAGTGCGACCCTACCTAGAAGTTGGAGCCCCTAGGAAAGCAGCATTCGTTGTTATGATATGTTATGCTATGCCATGCTATGATGCGTTATGATATGTTATGCTATGATATGTTATGATATGATAGACTGCGTTACACGATGCTATGCTATGATATGCTAAGCTATGATATGTCATACTGCGATGTGCTGTGTTAAGCTATGAAATACTATGCAATGCGAAGCTGCGCTATGCTATGACATGCTATGCTATGATATGATCTGATATGATATGATATGATATGTTGCGCGATGCAATGCTATGGTACGCTGTGTTATGCTACGATTGGCGATGTTATGCCATGATATGCTATACGAATGCTGCGCTGCGCTATGCTAAGCTAAGCTAAGTCAAGCTAAGCTAACCCTCTAGGCAGAACCTAGGTAGGGAATTACACCCATGCTAATATGCTATGTTGCGCTATGCTATGCTACGCTATGCTATGCTATGCTGTGCTCTGCGATGCTAAAGCTCAGCGAAGTTAAGACGAAGGGAAGCTAAGCTACGATAAACCTGAGCTAAGATGAAGCTAAGCTAAGCTAAGATGAAAGAGGCTAAGCTAAGATGAGATAAGCAACGCTAAGCTAAGGAGACGTAGCTGGGGGAACCGCGGGGCGGATGCCGGGGGAACCGCCCGGGGCGTGTTACACTGCCCGGCCCTTCAAGCTCAGACAGTAAAAACCCTTTTAAGCAGAGCCTACGTAGGGAATAGTTCGCCGGCCCAACGGGCCAGAGGCGTGCTAAGATCTCCGGTAACTGCTACATAATACTTCTACTTCGCGCGCGCGGGGCGGCCCCTGGGGGTCCCCGGACGAAAAGTACCCCGGGCGATCCCCGGCAGACTCGGGTCAGAGATGGTTTTCCTCCTGGGCGCCGCCCCCGTGGCCCTCCAGAGAGCCCCAAGAAGGGCCACGAGGCCGCCAAGAGCGCTCCAAGATGGTTCAAGAGTGCTCCGAGATGCCACACGATCGTTCCAAGACGCCCAAGATGGCCCCCAGACGCCCCAAGAGGCCTCCAAGAGCACCCCCCAGAGGGCCCCAAGAGGTAAAAATCATTACTTTTCCTTAGGTTTGGGGCAGATTTTGGCGTGTCCATCTTTTCGGCTTCCCGACGCCCCAAGACGGCCCAAGAGGCCCCCAAAATCGCCCCAAGAGGGCCCAAGAAGCTCCCAAGAAGGCCCCAAAATGGCCCAAGAGGGCTCCAGGACGGCCCCAGAGGCATCCAAGACGGCCCAAGAGGGCCCCAAGCGATGCCCCAAAGGGGGAACACAAAACAAAACTTCGAGCCCTCGGCCTTAAGAAGCCCCCAGGAGGCCTCAAGAGGCCCCTGAGAGGTCCCAAAAGCCCCCAAGAGGCCCTCAGGAGGCCCCCAAGCGACGCTGAAGAAGCCCCCCAGCGGCCCCAAGAGGCTCAGTCATGCGAAATGGGCCCGCGGAGTGAGCGAAGCGAGTCAATAATTAACATCCGGGACCCAGGGGAAATTGCATCCGCCGAGCACCGCAAGTGAAGCATCATGCTATCCACGGGGCTGTGGATCTGCAGACCAATGCTATGATTCTACGGGGGAGGGGGTCTTCCCAGGATGAAGAGGGGAAGGATGAGGGAAGAGGGAAGAGGAGGTGGGAGAAGAACGGAAGCCAACTCCCGCATCTCCACCCATAACATATTTACCCCGCCTCGAAGCGACCGCTACATGTATCCGCTGACCTGAACGACGCGTCCCTTCCGACATGTGGGGCTCAAGAGGAAATCTTTCGGCCTGCGTAAGTATGTCCTCCAACACGCCTCTCCAAGAGGCCATACAGGACCGCTACAAAATGCCTCCAAATGGCACTTGAGTTTCCGAGGAGGCTCCAGAGAAGCCAATTCGCCTTTTCGCTTCCGCTAGGTCTCTGAGGCCTCAAGCTGGCCCCTGTATCCAAGAAGCCACACAGATGGGGCGATAAACGAGGCAAGTCGCCTAGCGATCGTTTCTGAATGGGCTGGTGGGGATACGCAAAGTGTCGGTTTGCATGATCATCATGATACAACCAGATGGCCATTATCTAGTCGCCGCTGTAACGCCTCGACGAATGCCAAGAACAATTGCGCTCGTCATCTAAGCCCCCATGTGATATCCCATGGAGCCATGATGCAAACACATTCCTCTCTGCTATGGAACTTCTGCAAGAAGCTCTGCCTGCGTCAATGTGGACCATCTGGTTCAATCTCCGTCTGACATCCTGTTGCATGGCACTCGGATGCAACAGATATTCGGAACGTATTGAGCATCAGGTGGCACACAAATCACCAATACAGCGCATGCTATTGGTATACACTTCATTCGCACAACAATAGAAGCGAGGACGTAAAGGACATGCCCAACAGGCCATTCGGAGCCCGTCGATCTGTTGCGGGAAGACTTACAGCGAATGTCAAAGGCAACGACCGTCATCATGACGCAGACACGAATGTGAACCACATTGCCAACTTACAGCAATGCTGACTCGAGCGAGGCATGTCCTAGCACAGACTATGTTCCCCGCGCACCATGACATGCGCCAACGATGATGCAAGAAAATGCGTCATAATGCGCAACAGCGCCGATAACGTGATCGACACATGTACGCTGGACATTTCTGCCAACACTCCGAAATGTTAGCAGGAAGCCGTGCGCGCGTTGAATGCACGATGGGCATGCTCGAAAGCGCAAAGGCACTCGACGACATGACGCCCCCTGTCGATCGTGGAAGCCAAACTGCATGAAAGTTGTGGAGAACTCCGTTCCCGTGCTGGTCCTGCTTGGCGCTCGTGTGGTTCGGGTCAGCCTGGCGAATCTAGATGCGCAAGGTGTTCAACTTCGTGCTCGCTTATGGGAACAAGAGATTCACTTCTTCTGATGATTCTCCTGCCAGTCCTGCACGTTCCGCAACCCCACCCCGTCACCCCTCCTTGTGTGATAATTCAAAAGGGGGCGTCAATGAGCCACCTTCTCCGTTCGTGATTGAACTGTGCCTGAACTTTGCTCGAATCATCGTCTGTTTGCGTCCCTCGCCAACGTCGACACGCCACTCCCCTGCTTTCTCCTCGCGGAGGGCGCGACTGGGCGAGTAGAGCGGAGTGGTGCTCAAAGGGCTGCTTCTCCCCCACCCCTGATCCCGCGAACGAAGGACGAGGCCGGCGCGGTGAGGGCCCAGCCGCGGGCGTGGGCGCGGCCTCCCTCCTCCTCCTCCTCCTCCTCCTCCTCCTCCTCCTCGTCCTCCTCCTCCTCCTCCTCCTCGTCCCCCTTCTCCTCCTCGTCCCCCTCCTCCTCCTCCCCCCTCCTCCTCCTCCTCCTCCTCCTCCTCCTCCTCCTCCTCCTCCTCCTCCTCCTCCTCCTGCTCCTCCTCTTTCTCCTCCTCCTCCCTCTCCTCCTCCACTCACCCCTTTGTTGTCGAGGACCGTTGGCTGAGCAAAGCAAATCCTCTTCCCGGGAGACAAGCTATGGCACAAACTGTCCGAGGTCCGCGACGATTTCTCCAATCGACGCTGGAGCCCCCTGGCGGCGCCTCTGGCGCCACCCCTGGCGCCGCCCCTGGCGCGCGCCGATCCAAGAAACCAGCGCGGACATCCGAAAGTGCAAATATGTGCATGTCATGATTTGTTCCACGATCATTATTCCCCCCTGGGCGCGCCAGGCCGAAACGCGACGAGGCAGCGATCGGGCCCCCGCTCTTGGCCGGAGGTGAACTTGCTTTGATTCTGGGTTTCGACGTTTGGCCGAAGGGCGGGGGACGGGAGGGGCGCGGGTCTGGGCTGGCTTGGTCGATCTGCTCTTGCCCTTCGCGCAAGCAGACTGGGAGGGGGGTCCTGACCAGTCGCCAAAAGAAGCAGCCAAGAGCAGCCAAGACCTGATCTGCAGTCGGCCTTGATTGGAGAGGACACGCGAGAGGACACAAGGCCCTTCCGAGGGCCACGTTGCCACAGAACTGCAGGAGGCATGGGTCGCGAGACACAGGACACGAGGGTACCCTCGATTTGGCAGGGTCGACCCACTAATCCGGGCCGACCGTATGGGGGAGGGGGGGAGGGGGGCGGAGGGGGGGGGGAGCGGGGGCTCGCGCCGATCGGCGAAACGATGCATACAAAAAGTCGGCGAGCTGGCCCGTGCCCCAACCCTTCCCTGAAGGGGCCCCAGGACACACAAATAAAATCACACAAATAGAAATACTCCCCATATTTTCCCATGTTTTCTGGGTTTCTGTCTTCCCGCCCACTTCCCATATTTTTTCATATTTTCTGGGGAATCGAGGATTAATTGTATCTGTGTGTTTCTTTTTCCTCCTGATTCCCCACGGCACAGCACGCGGCAGACCAAGCCCGTGCGCCTGCATCACCCCCGCGGCCGGGGGGGGGAGGGGGAACGCGGGGCCGGGCACCGCAGGGGGGGGCGGGCGCGCCCAGTCCCACATCTGGCGGCACACGCACCTGGGCAGGAGGGCCGGGGCGAACGCATCCGACGGGGGTGGAGGGGGACAAAGACGACGCCGCCGACGACGACGACGCCGACGAGGACGACGACGCCGCCGCCGACGCCGTCGGCGCCGACGCCAGCGACGACGACCCGCGACGGCGACCTGCGGCGGATGCGATCGCGACGGCAACGACGACAACGGCGGCGACCATCATGTGAAGACCTGAAATGAGCAGCTGGTTTGATTTTCGTCTGTATATCCCTCTCCAATCTGCCCACCCTTCAAGTTTATGGACCAGCACGCGTTGGGGGGAGTGGAGGAGGTTACCTGCCAGGAGACGCACTCAGCGGTGCAGGTACTCGGCTAAAGAGGCGCATGTCCGATGGCGAATACAGTCGGACTCGATTGGAGAGGACACGCGAGGGGGCACAAGACCCTTCCGAGGGCCACGTTGCCACAGAAGTGCAGGAGGCATGGGTCACGAGACACAGGACACGAGGGTACCCTTGATCTGGCAGGGTCCACCTACCAATCCAGGCCGCCTGTAGATTGAGCAGTGCGCTGCGTCTGCCCAACGCGCCGCTATGACCCTCATGCGAACTGACGCGCCCAGGGGCGAGGTCCTCCAGAAGCTCGCCCTCCTCCTCCTCCTCCTCCTCCTCCTCGTCCTGCTCCTCCTCCTCGTCCTCCTCCTCCTCCTCCTCCTCCTCCTCCTCCTCCTCCTCCTCCTCCTCCTCCTCCTCCTCCTCCTCCTCCTCCTCTCCCTCCTCCAGAAGGTCGCCTTAGAGGAGCAGGCACATAATTGCAGGACGCCAGAGGAGCGCGGCGGGTGGCCGAGCCAGGCCGCCCCGCGCGCAGGCGCGGCCTCGGGCGGCTGGACGACCGGATTGCGCGAAGATCTCGAGCGGGAGCGCTGCGGGCGCATCTGACAAGGGGTGCACGGGAGCACGACTAAATTGAAAAGGCGTATCGAGTAGCAGCCGTTCTCGTAGTAGTTGGGCCTTCCCCGGCCCGAGTGGATGGCGATCAGGTCTCGGGCGAGAGCGCCACTCCTGAGAGCCAGGGCGTCTCTGGTCAAGGCGCCGCGGAGTAAATTGCGAGGACGTATCGCGCGAGTCGTTGTCCTCGCAGCTGTGCCTGCACCACCTTGACTCAACTTCAAATTTCTAGCGAGAGCACCGTGGGCGCACATGACAAGGGCGTGTGGAAACACGTTGGCGAGACATATCAAAAGGCAGGCGTTGTCGTCGTACTTGGGCTTCAACCAACCCACGTGGAAAGAGAGGATGTCTCGGGCGAGAGCGCCATTCGTGAGTGGGGGCGTCTCTAGCCAAGGCGCCTCGAAATGAATTGCAGGGTAGTTTCGAACGGCAGCCGTTGTCGTCATAGTTGGGCCTTCGCAAACTTCACTGGACTGGGAAGAAGTCTTGAGCGAGAGCGCCGTTCCTGAGCTCTAAGACCTCTCTGGCTAGGACGTCTCAGAGTAAGTTGTGAGGAAATATTGGGCGGGAGCCGTATCCAAACTAGTTCGGGCTTCAACAACAGGAGCTTGGAAACAAGCCCGCGCTCGAGCGGGAACGTCGCTTTCATAGAAAATGTCCCGCGTCGGGAACAGAGTGCCAGAACCGTTTCCATTTACCAGCAATTGATACTCCAGATATCATAAGAAAGTGGGGGGGTCGCATTTGGTGGCATGGTCTGACTTGAGCTGTCTTGCAGGGTTCAGGCGGTCCCGGGCAAACAGCATCCTTTTCATGGTTGGTCTGGGGGGGTCTGAAATTTCTTGTCTGGGAGGGTATTTTAAAGAAGAGAGTAGTCGATGGCCAGCCCGAATAAGGAAGACTACGACGGGGGGGACGTCTACGACCACGAGAGAGGCGACCATCTGAGGAAGCTCGATCCTCGATGCCGAGGGAGGCGCGCTGTGACCACTCAAGGTATCTGCTACAGCCCGAAGTTGTTGTCTCCCCCCGAGCCCACCCTTCCCCCATCCCCCACACCGTGCGCTTCCCCCACCCCCTTTCCTGACGAGCACCACTACTGAAGGGGCCCCAGGACACACAAATAAATACACACAAATAAAATGATTCCCCATATTCTCCCATATGTTTTGAGTTTTTGTCTTCTCCCCCACCTCCCATATGTTCCCATCTTTTCCTGGGAGTGGGCGATTCATTGTGTCTGTGTGTGTGTTTCTTCCCCTCCTGAACTGCACTCGACGCGTGATCTCGCTGGGCAGACGCTCCACTGTGGGCCGCCGCGGCAAGGGGGAGCGAGGGGCAACGTCAGAACGACGTGGCTCGGGGGGGGGGGGGGCATCTGGCTGAAAGCGGCGACGCGTCGCCGGCAGGTCGGCGACCGGCCCCAGCCGATGGCGACTCCGCGTACTCCTGGGCGGGGTGGGCGATCGGGCCCCCGTCGGAGACGGCTGGGCGATCGGGGGTCGACACACATCCGGGGGTCCCCCTCCGAGCAGATCCTCCGCCAACGTTGCCCATTGGTGTGTCGGGCCTCTCCGGCGGCCGCTCGGGACGACCCGGACACCCCCGGACGCCTCTCGGCGAGGCGCAGCTGCTGGAGAGCACCGAGGGGCTGGAAAACCGCCGGGAACAGACGAAAGCGTCCAAGAGTCTCAAGCCATCCACCCCTGAGGAAGGCGGGCGGGGGAGGACAAGGAGAAGGAGAACGGAGGAGGGATAAGATGCCCGCAGGGACTCCGACCAGGGGCGGGCGCCCATCGACCTCACGACTGACGTCAGCCCATGCTCGAGGGCGACGGCGGGGGCGAATAGCCCAAGGGAGAACAATGCATGTATCCAAGGGCGCCGATGGTCCATGCCTTCGACGAGGCTCCCGAGCGAATGCGTGAATTGCCCGCACCTGGGTTAGTCACCTCTATCAGAAATGCGAAAAAAGGCAAAAACATAAACCTTCGCCGGTCCGCGCGGAGTTCTTGGATCTGCGCTGCACCCTCATCCCTGGCGCGAGGAGCGCGCCAGGGGCGGCGCTGGAGGCGCCGCCAGGGGGGGGGGCCCATGCGCCGATCCAGGATAATCCGCGCGGAGCGCCACGAAATTCATGGCGTTCTCCTTCTTCGATCCAATCGTCGCCTGCGATGCGTCGGCCCCTCGGCGGCCCGTCGGCGGCCCGGCCAGCGCCGCCGTGGCCCCCGCCGCCCACGGGGCCGATGGCCAGTGGCCGTGGGGAGGCCGCTCGCGCGGAGCCCGCGCCGCCGCGCGCGGGGCGCTGGCTGCGCCCACGGGCCACGGCCAGAGGGGCGGATAGCTGCACGGCGCCTCCCCGCCGCGGGCGCGAGCTGGTGGGGGGCGAGGAAAGAAGAAGAAGAAGAAGAAGAAGAAGCGACGACACGAACACAAGCTTCTGGCGCTCCGCGCAGAGTTCTTGGACCTGCGCTGGACCCTCCTCCCTGGCGCGCGGAGCGGGCCAGGGGCGGCGCCGGAGGCGCCGCCGGGGGGGGCGCATGCGCCGATCCAGGAAAATCCGCGCGGAGCGCCAAAAGCTTATGTTTATGGCGTTGTTTCTTCTGCGGGGCACTACAGAGGGAAGCTTCAAAGCGTCGCCCTGCCCACTTCGGCACACCTCTCGCACGGATCGGCCCCCCCCCCGACGTTCCACGGACGGCAACAGAGTCCGCCCCCCCGTCTAATTCGGCTTACCTCTCACACGGATCGCGGCCCACGGGGATCTCCACCTACGGTTGTGGATGCCATGACAATGGACGCTCTAACAATCCTATCATTGAATGAAAAATGTGTTTAAACTTGTGTAAAACATGTTCCAAAAACATGTGTCAAACATGTTGTCACATATTTTGAGCAGGGACCAACCGTCCCAGCATCTCTATAGTCCTTCCACGAAATTCTCTTAGAACCCCAAAATGTTCAAATAACAAAAACGATGTTCTTAGAACAGAAGCCCGATGTAATAAAACAAGACAGCCCCGGCCAGAAATGTTCGAAGAGCATGTCGTGGAAACCTCAAAAGGTTCTTAGAACTTGTTTGGTAGGGATATAGGCGAGCCAGGACGCTTCGCCACTGCTTGAATAGTTAAAACATGGTTTGTGTTTGTTTATGTTTTCTCTTGGCGAGCGTCTTCGCGCAACACCTGTCTGTAACACTGCAAACTACGTGACAGAAGTATTGAAAGGTATTCAATCTCTTTCCGAGAGCAGGCCAGCGCGATGCCTTCGCGACGGCGGGAGGCGGGAGGCGAGAAGGGGGGGAACCAAGGAGAGTCGAGGAGGGAGAGAGGAGGGAGGAGGGAAGGAGATGGTGCCCTTCGGCGCTGCTTTAAAGTCGGGCAGAGATGGTCCGACAATTGAAGAAAGTACCGGCTTACAACTGGTAGTAGGTGTCCAGTGCTGCATATTGGGGAATATGTCTTCTGGTCCCCAGCCTAATGGCACAAAATCGGCACAGGGTGCCACGTTGCCACCAGAAGGTAGGAAGGTGGGTTCCACTCCCCTTTGAAACCGTTACCGTATCACGTCGTCCTCTGTGGAAAAACATGCTCGGCGAGGTTGCCTCACGCGGGGAAAGAAGAGTGGATGCTCAAGACACAAGGTCTGAGGCTGACAGTGGCTGCCCGCGCCACATTTCTCAACGGTGGCGACCATTTAGAGGGCTGGATCAAAGTTCACAAGAGCACCTTATTGCGTCTAGGCTGTACAATGCACAAAAAAAAGGCTGGCGAATCCATCCAGGCGGCGGGCGACGCCACTCATCGTTGCTTCCCTGGTCCGTGGTCCCCACCCCTCGATCCATAGCTTCACCTTCCCTGGGAAAACCGCCGAGATGGTTGTGGGCGCCGCAGCCGCGCCGCGCTTGCACGCACCGGCATACGTAGAGTATTGGGCGTCACGCGCACTGCTTTGGGGAAGATCGCATTTGCAACACCCAGCTTTGTGGCACACAATCACAGCAGGTACTATTCGGCTTGGGGCGCCGTGATTTTACAAAGTCTCCCCAGCCTGCTCTGAAATCGAAGCCCTC